ACTAGGTCCACTGCTTCCAAATGACATATATAAATCATCTCTATGTGTTCCATCATAACAAGTAAAGAGAAAATGAGTTCCTTGTGACTTGTTGAAATTATAAATGCTGTTTGTGATTGCTTCTAAAAGCCTGCCTTCATCATTTTGGAAAAAAATATTTGTTTCAGTAATGTGAAACATTGTGAGTAATTGGTTGTGATCTGATTTCTCATGAAGGACATGATCAAGTACAGTTTTGAGATTGATATCCTTCAAGTGTAAGCCATATGATTCAAGATAATATTCTAAATCATTTAAGAACAGATGATATTCCCTTCCATTAATTGATTGATGTAGGATCCTTAATACTATGACTGACTCTGTATAATACTGATTAATCAGCATCCTTTCTGTATGGTCTAATGCTGAACTTAAAACATCCCAAGCAAACACCCTTCCACTAAAAATCTCTTGTAATTGCTTGTTCTGCTCTATCACTGACAAAAACCACGTTGTATAAATGTTGTTTTCCCTATTCCTGGTGCTCCAGCAACCACTAGAGTTTGGTATAATCTTTTGAATGATTCAAGAGCATCTGTATGACAAAAATTAGGATGATGATTATGTAATCGGTTCCAAATCTTGATATTATCAATAATACATATCTCTAACATTTTCATTTCCTTTTCTCTACCAACAAAAGGAAAACAGTCGTCAATAGCTGTAAATAAAATATCATCTGAAAGTTCAAATGGGCCAAGTGCAAAGCTATTGAGATGGCAATCATTTGATGGTTTATACTTGGAAAGTACTTCAGCAACATCATACTTCACTTTTTTTGTTATCTGCTTTTAGGTATAAATGTAAAATGAACAGTAACAGTAATAGATGCATGTACAAGAGAACGGAAAAAACCACAAAGATATAATAGTATACCAAACAAACAAATAAAACAAAATGGACGAAAAATAATGTTATTGTATATCTTTTTTTTTTATTTTCTCAAAAGTAATATTTTTTACGTTTGGTCCCTTTTTATTGTCCATGCCCCATGTAACCCCTTTATGACAGTGTCAAAATACTTTGGGTTGCATGTATAGATATAGATATGAGGTCCTAGTTTTTGTTGATCACAGAACCAACTTACTGCAGAAGTCATGTGATACTACAAATGTTGGGATGATCGTTGAACAATTTCTGGTAATACCCCGGGTCCTTTTCTGGTTTAAGCATAGTTAAAATTGAAATCTACCGATTAAAATAATTAAAATCAAGCCAAAATCATGTGGCTGACAAAAATACTTTGAAAAATGATTTGGAATACCATTTAATATCCTTATTAACAAAGAAAATAACTTGTAAAGAATGTTAATGTTATTTATCCTATAACTTTCTTAGTCACCAAAAATGAAATATGTAGATTTGGATGTTATGACTGAAATAAACAAAACTCAGAGCAACTTTATTATTAATAAAAGCCCAAACTAAATTCCGCTCAGGAAAAACTATTTTTTGTTCAGAAGAGAAGTATATTATTAGTATTATTATACAAAATTTGAGGTGATATAAATAAGTGGTGGTATACCAGTTTTTTATGTGGTACTTTTTTGATTTTATAATACTCTTCACATATAAATTGCTGATCTTTTTTTTTGAAATTCTTCTTCATAAAATTTCTACTTTAATTGCATCTTGCAGAAATAAGATAGGGTATGATGTTTCTGAACACATTCCAATTTTAGTAATCTCCCAAAATTTGTGAAAAAAAAATCATGATCCTTGGGCTTGAAGAGAACTAGTGTTCCATGTTGCAACCCAAAAAAGGAAACAAAATGGTTGTAAAGGTGGTTGCAATCATTTTTTTATATGATGCAAAGATGGTAGCAACCATCATCAAGAGTTGCAGCTGGTATTCTTAGGCATAATCAATTTGGTTTTCATAACAACATAAGATTTTCTTCGCCAGGTTTATCTTGAGGCATTGGAGCTTTCATAATTTAATTTGGTTACCAAACATTTTCAACATAATAGTCATGACAATAACAATAAAAAAGATAAAGATAATAGTCATTGAATTAAAGAAAATATATTTTTTCTTCAAGTGAGTTGTAAAAAAAAAATATTTAAAGTATCTAAATAATTAAAAGATTCTATTTATTAAAGGGTGATCCTATATATACAGGACCCTTCTAATTTGTAGGGATGGGAACAGTTCGGTTCGGTTCAGTTTATAAACTGCCAGTTTGGCTAGTGAACCGCACTGACTGGCGGTTTACCACCATGGTTCAAACTCAAGTTTAACTGCAGTTTTATAATTTTATTGGATCTATTTTTATAAAATGAAAATTTTTTTTTTAAAAAACAAATTATTTGTTCTGACAATTAAAGCTATTTTAAACACCACTACTATCATCTATTCACTTAATATTTGCTTGTACTTTAAATTGTTTGCATCAATAGCTGGAGTTCCACCTGATCTCTATATCAAGTTGTAGCACAATAATTCAATTAATTGTGATTGAAATATCTGCTATCATAATTTTCTTTTTTCTTTT